TTACTAGTCGACACTACCAAACCAAACTTACGTATACCCTTCCCCCCCCCCAAAATAATGTAGTTTTGTACAAATATCACTCCCAAACACACACACACACACACACACTTTATTCCATAATATGCATTCCTGCCTGGTTGTTTCTCGCTTTTGTTTTTGGAATGGAATCTGATGACTACATTTTTAAAAAGTGTGAAAACCAAAAGTTCCAATCCTTATATTAGTCCAGAAAGTGCCCAGCCATTCAGTTTGTAGAAATTTTAAGCATACAAAAATACCAAGTATCCCTTGACCAAAACAGAAGAGGAAAAAAAAACACCATACCTTGTCTATGAAAGAAGCAAATTTGTTGTTAAGGGTCTTGATCTGTTCTTTTTCTTCTTTCCTTACCCTCTGGATGGTTGGGTCAATCTCCAAGCTGAGAGGTGCCAGAAGGCTTGGGTTGACAGTAACCTCACGGATGCCCATGGCTCCAACTCCTCCACAGCCAATATGGCTATAGACACCACTACCAAACCTGTACCCAATTCCACCATGACCCAATCCATAACTATATGCGGATCTGCCAATACTAAATCCACCCATGGACATTCTTTTTCTTGTTCCAAAACCATGGAAGCTTCTGCTGCCAAATCCACCATTGACACGTCCAAAGCCTGCACTGCCTCCTCCCCGAGATACTGAAACCACGTCAAAGCTAGTTCGGCTACATGGGATAATAGCTGAAGATGCACTAAAATTCTTAGAAGAAAATGCTTTTTCAGCCATTACTACTAGGTGAGGAGAAGTAAGAGACAGACAGAATGAGATGAACCAAGATTCCTAGACCTCACAGATGATCCAATTCTCCTGAAAAAATGCACATTTTTCTCCTCTTTTATCCTGTTCAGGAGCTGGGCTTGGCCACTAGAGATCATAGGTCACTGGGGTGAATTAATCAGTTTGGTATGCCTGGCAAAAGCCACTGTTTCTATTCCATTCATCACTGCAGGTATCTTACATAATGTCCTGGCAACCTGCAGACCTAAAAAATCAAATAGACTCTTCTAACCCTGTACTTTATAAAAAGGAAAGCTATCTAATGCGTTGCTTTCAACTTTCTATAAAACAAGAAGCAACTTCTTCCTTTCTGAACCTGATGAGAATGGAGTCACCATGTGAGGTAAGTAAGAGGTGCTGAGGCAACTCCTTTGAGACTGAAGTTCAACAATGCACATTTGTTTTGCTAATCCTTTTGTGTTCCTTCTTCAATGGAAACACCTACTGTGAAGCAAACAGAGATATAAATGTGAGAACATCTGTGCTCAGGTTTACAATTAAGCAGCATGGCAAAGGTCCATGCTGCTCAGAAGGCGAGATGAGAGGAAATTCCATAGAAAAGTCAATTGTCTTCCATGGAATTTCCCCTGGCCAGGTCAATTCAATGAGAAGACTCACACAACTATTCTTGCTAACTGCATCATCAACACCTCACACCTTCCTTCCTCTGATGCACCATCTGCAATAAGTCCCTGACTTTGCTTTTTCCCCTCTACTCTTACACATCAATTTACTTTGTCTTCTAGTCTTGCCATCTTTTCCGTTTTGTCTAGATGTCCTAAATAAAATCATAGCCAATGGTTGCCTAAATCTCATCTAGATGCATAAATAACCAGCACAGAAAAATGTAAGATGCGATTCATCACCCCTTGCATTAGTCTTTATATTCCCAAATGACAGTAGAGAACTCTTTAACATATATTATTACAGTTTACATCCTACCCTGGAGGGCTGACTCCATGATTATACTGTTAGAAAATATTTTCTACTTTACAGTTCAGTATTTCAACTTTTGATTTAACTCATTAGTTTGGTCTGATATGGACAAAGACTATCTCATCTACTATTTTGTCATGCAACAAACCTAACTTTCTACAAAGGACTAGAAAAGGCTTCCCCAAACGCCCTGTCTACCATAGAGCAGAAATAAACATTATATCCAGCTGCATGGGTGGGGCCAGAAATAACTCACAGTGAACCTGTGGTTGCTATGGTAGCCATGAATTCCTGAGCCACTCCTGACAGGGAAACCTCAGCATGGACAGTGGAACTGGTCAGAATAAACTCCCCAGGACACTCCAATGTCACAGAGAGGCCCTTGCTGGGACCGCTTCACGGCACTGACACTGCTGAATAATTGGATAAAAAAGGAGCAGCAAGGGCCAGGAAGAGGCATTTGGGCCCTCACGGTGCTCCTGATATTCTTAAGAATGTAATGGGAGCTGAATTTCAAAACTGGGCTTCGGTAACACCCGCCCTACACCTCCATTTCGTGCCATGAGAAGGCAACCCATCCCTAGGCTTGGCAGGAAGACGGTTGATTTTCCTTTTCACCCATGCTGAGCATTTCAGTGCTTGGATTGGCAAAGCATTTGGTCAGACCCTGGAGTTAGAGACATCAGTGTGGCCTGGATCTCAGCTGCAGGGAACATCTGGAAACATCTCCTATTAGGTCAAGTTCATCCTCCTCATCATAGGGATACGCTTTAGTTTTAAGGCCAGGGGTGCCTCCTCTTCATTATTTAGCCTGCTGAAGCTCACTGGAGACATGGTGGTAACACCAGGACTTCATCCGGGGGGCCTGGAATTTTCAGCCCTTTCCATCTCCCTTTTCTATTTGGGGGGGGGGGTTAACACCTCTCTTTAATTGCCCTTCTGTGGCAAATTGGTAGGAAACTGTGTATGTTATTTAGCAGCTAGCTGAAAACTTTCTTCCTGCAATCCTGACGGCCCTGGATGCCGCAAAATGGAGCAAGGGTATGACATCACTGATAGGGATACCTTTCCCAGCACATGCTTTGAGGGTCACCCACAAATGTTCATAAGCCAGGTGATGCGGTGGCCAATGTATTGCGCATCCTTCCATCAGCTCACTCTAGTCCCTTTATGCGTGACCCTGGGGCTCCAAGATTCCTAAATAAGCAGTGGAGGCTATTTAGTTCAGCCATTGCTGGGCACTGTGTATTGAGCTCAGTATTACTCACCTGACAGTGAGTGAGGCAAGGGGTAGATGGAAAACTAAAAGGAGAAAAAGAGAGAAAAGTAAAACAGGAGTAGACCAAGAATACAAGGAAGACATTGTTGGAAGGACTTTAAAAGAAATTACTGGGGGACTTGGAGGAAACACAAAAGTATTTCCCCCCCTTATACAAGATACTGTGTAGATTTTGCAAAATGCTAAATCTGTATAATATTGTTCTTGAGTGTCAAGTTTTCTGACACTAATTAACCTCAAGTATCAGCAGTCTTTATGGGCCCTGGGCATCACCTCTGCATGCTAGCACAGACATCCCCCAAAATATCTTGAGCTTGGATGAGAATGCTGAAATGTCATGAAATTGCAAGATGAAGTTGCTGAAATCTTGTGAGATTAAGGCCATTTTTTTTTTACAAAATCACCATTTTGGGGGTCCTACAGCTGCCATCTGAGATTGCCCCAGATGACGCACAATTTTAATCTACCTGATATAAACACGTTACGGGGGGAGCAGTTGGCCCTTCGAAGAACAAACCAGCCTTGTGTGTCCAGAGGGAGTCACCTGACCCTTGACAGCCAATAAAGGAAAAGAAGGGGTTCTCTGGGTGGGAAGAGATTTTGGGTTGGGGGCGTTGGCTGGAGTCCTGGGTGAGGGGGTGACCTGAGGCAAGGCTGGA